GCTTATCTATCTATCTATCTATCTATCTGGCTGGCTGTCTATCTATCTAAGCTTATTAATATCTATCTAAGCTTCTTAATATCTATCTACCTATATATCTAATCTTGTTAATTCCTATCTATCTATCTATCTATCTATCTATCGATCTATCTATCTAAGCTCATTAATTCCTATCCATCTATATATCTATTTATTTATCTGTCTAAGCTTATTAATATCTGTCTATGCATCTGGTAGATTTTGAATAATGGTCGTAAATATAGACCAGGTTCTTACACTCAGAAAACTTCATCATGTTTATTTCCCGACTCCCCCCCAGGGCGTGAACGATCATGGTTCTCCACAATTTCCTCTCCTTCGTAGCTCTTAATAAACTTTGTCTTCCTGTTATTTCTCATAAACCCTGTTCCGCCATCCATTAAATCAAGCTCCCTAAGTATGTTATTCGTTGTATTCATCTGTCCCTCTTGACCTCTATCTGTCCCGTGAGTATCAGATTTTCCAAGCCCACCTTCCTCATTATGTGCCACAGAAACTGTCTCTTTCTGATGTCAAGTATAAGTGTCTTTTTTGTTTCTATTCTCTCCAAAACCTTGTTGCTCACATGTTCGGTCCATGGTATCCTCACCATCCTTCTGTAGAATCACATTTTCTTACTTTAAGTGTCTTCTTCATCTTTGAGGAGATCGTCCAGCACTCAGTGCCATACAGGAGGACGACTACGGTCTATTTTTCAGTATTCATCCAATTCATCAGACCTCCAAATTCAAAAAAAATATATATATATATATATATATATATATATATATATATATATATATATAGCATAACATAGAATTTGAAATATGTTAAAACTGACACACAAAAAAGACCGCTCAATGTTTATTTTCATTAAACAGAGCAAATTTTCTTTAAAATATATATATATATATAATATATATACATACATACACACACGCACACACACACACACACACACACACACACACACACATATATATATATATATATATATATATATATATATATATATATATATATAATATTCTAAAATAAAGAATATATTTTTAAAATCTCAATAATTGTCTACTCACCAGTCATTTACTAACGACTGATGAGATGTGTTAATACGCATCGAAACTTGATTGTATTTTTGTAGCGTATTTTTACATGTTTTTGATGTAATATACTAAAATAAAGAAGATTTCTCTATTTTATATTGAGCCCCCTTTTAAATTAAATGTTACGAACGTCTGAATTGGACTCTATTCGTTCTCATTTTACATATATATATATATATATATATATATATATATATATATATATATATATATATATACCGACGTTTAGGGTGCGACTTAAGTTTCGTTGTTTTATCAACTCTTTAGGCGCGAAATATTATTTACACTATTTACATTATTCGGACTATTGTCCTCATCTTTGTCGCCATATTGATTACAACGTTTTGGTTGTACGCTCCGGCCTTCTTCAGGTGGTTGGAATGTCGAACTGAACCCTTTATTTCGCTCACTGGAGTAGACTGTTCTAGTTCCACGTGCCATGTTTAATGGATATCAGTTATCAGTTATCTCCTGTTAATTTCCCTCTCCAAGTTCTCCACCGCCTTAACCAGGTATTGAACTCTACCCTATTATTTTAGATTTGAGCTGAGAATCTGCGTGTAATTTAGCGTTCCTCCCATGAGACCGAGTATATTATTATTTTTTTTTTCAAATCATAAGTAATATTTCGTGTCTGATGAGTTGGTAAAACAACGAAACTTAAGTCGCACCCCCAAACGTATGTATATATATATATATTAATATATATTTCTTAGCTCTGTCTAGCCCCATTGAGCACTTTTATGCTTACAACTTAAAATAAATTTAGTAAATATTTATTTGCTTACCTGTGTAAACTTACAATTCTCCATGTTTTCTCTCGGACATTCATATCTGCTCGATGTGTATCCAAATGCAGAATTGTTAGATAAAAAAACAGTAAAATCAACCTTGCTAACCGAAACACTCCTCTGTGGCTAAATCGGTAAAAGCACGTCAGGCTATATGACGGTTCCGTATAGGATATAGATTCGATTCCTGTCGGAAGACGCATATTTTCTATGAGAATTTCTCGGACATTCATTTATGTTTATTATAAACAGAGCATTTGCTTAAGTAAAGAGGAGTGTTTGGGAAAAGGATAAAGAGAAGGACAGGGATCAAGGTCAGGGCTTCAGAAGATGTCGATTGACGTTACATTTGAATATTTGAAGATTATAGCTATCAGAGAAGCAAGTGATAGGAAGGGAGTTCCACTGACCGGAAGTGTGAGATAAGAAGCTGTTGGAGTAGAAGAGACGGCTACATTTAACTGTTTCGACAGTGAAAGTGTGGGACCGAGATGCCAATCTTGTAGCACGCTTAAATTCATGCAGTTTGGGAACCAGTGAAAGTAGCTCGTCGGAGCAGTTGCCATACTCGAAGTCACAAGTAGAGGGCTTGAACGTGCTTGCTTTGTTCAAATTGTTGATCACGCTAGATAATACGATCTTTTCCAGAAACTGTAACTAAGGTTTACTCAGCATTGTTGCAGTATAAACCCCATGTGGGCTATGTGGGTGTTGAATAAACACAAATGCGCCTGAGGGCGGCTAGCCAATCCCTATTGGGCAAGCCGCCCTCAGGCACATTTGTGTTTAGTAAACTCGAATACGACGGGCCAGCTATACAATACCATTGGAAAAGTATGAATCCAACCCAGCTAGTCGACAACGCCACTGAAACGTAATGGTCTACTAGAAGTGAACGAGAAGGCAAAACACTTTAGCAGGAATCAGAAACCCAATAATAGTAAAAATGTCAGAGTTTAGTCGAAATATAGAATTGAAGTAAAATTTAGAAGGAACCAAAAAATCCTAAACAGGAAACAAGGAATAAATATCTACTCATGTTCAAGAGAAATGTATAAATCCATCTTTTCTCCCGACCATTAGGACAGTCTGGGTTCTATAGCTGTTATGGCCCAGGTTAGAACCAAGGAAGAACAACACGAACACAAGAGTAGAAATAACGAAGGTATATTACACGAAATAATAATACAAGATGTGGAAGGTGTTAGTATGACTGTCAGTCTGGTTTGGAGTGAACTACTCTCAACTCGACTCGATTCCATATCTAGCCACCCGCAAACGAGGGTTGCAAGTGGCACAAGGCCGAGTTTAAAGTGGGTTTCCCGAGCCCGTAGGCTCGGCCAAAAAATGCCCGTAGATCCTGTATAAACGGGATCGGGTTAGTCAACCTCCCCGAACGAGACTCTGCCCTTCGGCGGAGCCTCGTCCGGGTTCCTCTCTGCTCAGAGGCAGTGAGTTCGACCGTCAAGCCGAGCTTCTCGGCTTGATTCGGTATCTAGCCACTCCCCCACAAGGGTTGCATGTGGCACAAGGCCGAGTTTAACGTGGGTTTCCCAAGCCCGTAGGCTCGGCCAAAAAATGCCCGTAGAACCCGTATAAACGGGATCGGGTTGATCAACCTCCCCGAACGAGACTCTGCCCTCCGGCGGAGCCTCGTCTGGGTTCCTCTCTGCTCAGTGCCAGAGAGTTCGACTGTCGAGCCGAGCTTCTCGGCTCGATTCGACCCTCTCTCTTGAGAGGCGTAGTATACATAGTGTTAGGAAGAGTTCATTCTGTAGTTATAGTTAAGGACCCATGACAATAGCCTTGTGTGGCAACCGGTCTAGGAGAAGGAAAAACTCTTAATTCAAAACTGTATCTAGCCCTGATGAAGCACATACTGTGCAGCTAAGGAAAGGATCTTTTGCATTGACTCTATGATTCCGACTACGGTCGACTCCTTTCAAAAATGGTGCATTAAAATAAGTAACCAAATAATCGTTTTAAGTTCTCTGATCAATTGATCCCCAAACTTAAGGGCACTTAGTGGGGAATGAACTCACTATTTTACAGGGACAACTTGCTAAGCATTAAATCCCGATGAAACGATGTCATAATTAGCGTTAAAGAGAGTGGGTGGCTTGGCAAAATGTTTGAACAAATAAAAATTTGCGACTCTGTATTCTGTTACAATTCTTTACTAAGTTTTATTAAGTATGGAACAAGGTTACAACAGCCGGTGTATTCGACGAGCTTGTTAACCATAACTAAAATGCCTAATTTTATGAAAAAGTGGTTGTCGTTAAAAAACGTTTTAAGTGGGAAAGTGTATTGTTACTAAATTTATTAGAGTTTTAAACATAACAATTAAGATAAAACAAATGACGGGTGATTTGCGTTTCCGTTAGCAATCAAAGTTGGGTTTTTTTTCTACTTTTGTGCTAACATGTGGCATGAACGCGACACAGGAAATATAGAAGCTTAAGTTTCGCAGATTTCAGAATCCGGCTCTCATCATTCCCACAAATGTTCAGTATGTTATTACGTTATTTCGAATCTAACTCCGACCATCAAAGTGCATATATATATATATATATATATATATATATATATATATATATATATATATATATATTCACTGTCGTAGTGTGTTATAGTTTTCTTTCTTTCTTCTTTTTAAACCCACTCAAGCTAAGAATTTCCCTCGTGTTATTTGGCTGACTTGATGTACAACTTAATCTAATTTCTCACGCCTCTAAAAAAAAGAAAAAAGAAAAAAAATGACTTCCTGGCCATTGAATTGGTTCTCTTTAAAGAACCTGGCGGTGTCGTTACTCGCCGATAAAAGCATTTTTATTTCCAAGCCATCTCTTATCGCCCCCACTTTCTTTCATTCTTTCTTGACTCAAATACGAATCAGCTTCTGGCCGTCCTGTGGGTGGCAGCGCCATCATCTCTAACAACCTACTTTGCCTTTTGTTCAGATTTTGGTGTTGAATCCGAAAAGAAGAACTGAAAAATGAAATCTTGGATCATTATTTACAAAACACAGTTTAGCGTCTGGCACAAGGCCATATCAGAGTTGAACCAAGGAGAATCAGGCCCACTA